ATGATAATACGTCCGAATTAAACAGCTGACTGTCATAATTCTCGCAAGGGATAATACATCAACCGTTCTTCGCGCCAACCAGTCGGATTTCGCACGACACCTTTACCATTGCATATTTTGTATTCCTTCGTATTAGACGCTGAAAGCAAACAAGGATTTTCGACTGGCTGTCTTGAGACTTGCCTTGAATTTATTGATGATTTTATTGATTGCATTGATCAGCTTTGTTCTAACCACTTTCCTTATTGCCCTTGGTACCAATTTTTCTACTGCAGTTGATTTACAACTGCATGTAAATGTGCTTTCGGAAGATCCATTTGGAAAGAAATCCATCTCTTCGTAAGTGGGTCCAGGGATTAGCGGAATAATGCAGCTAGTTTTCTATACATATACAAACCACATCGGTACTTTGAACCATTACATGGAAAATCGTTTTCGATTAATTATGTAAGGCAAAGTATATTCGGATGACAAATGCCATACAAACACTTAATATGTTAAGGATTATAGTTGCTTTATTCATCCGAATACTCGATTTCCAATAGTGAGGTATTTTCAATTAAATGCGATCAACTTAACAACTACAATAATTTCTGCTCCAAGCTGTTAACCCAGTGGAGACAACCTACCTATGGATTAACAACTTTTAAGCACTACTGTTTCAACAACTGTGTGATAATAATGCGTCTCCTTATGAATGTATGATAACTAACTGTGCCGCCTCTTTGTTTCTTAGCATAAAATTTTAGCTTGGAAGGTTAAACTGCATGCGCATTAAAACCATTGTGGGTAATCGCATTAACCTTTGTTTGTGGAGGTGCTTGTAGAAACTATCCTTGAAAATGCTTGTAACCCATTCAGTACAGTGGATTTAAACAAACTCATCACTGCTCCTTTGAACTTATTTGACAACACCATGTTTGCAGGGAACATACAAGTCTAGAGCCAACAAGGAATTTGATCCTAATATCTTGATACTAAATGCCTTGGAGAACGTATGTGTGCATCAAAGTCACTTTCTACTGTGATCTTTTAAAAATACTTGATGTCCGGCGCCATCCTTTGATCCAGAAATCAGCCTATATAACAAGAGCCTGTAGGATAAAATTTCAGAATTATCGTTGAAAAACGTGCAAATGTACTTTTGAAAATGTCTAAAAACAACTAAATTATTTCGATTATACTGGCAATTGAAAACGGTGTGCCCGCAAATCAGCATGTTATCTATTGTATGCCGTTTTATGTGTTGTGCATTTCTATGTACCTGTGTTTAAATAAATAAATATGTGTGCATTGACAGACTCTTACAATAGTCAATTTCCTCGGAATGGTTGTTTCTCTGTGGTTATGTACCGAAATGCGCGACTATTTCACAAATCGCACACAATTTACGCAATTTTGCGGAAAGAGTTTATCCGTATTCCCAACCGATTAGGGCGTATTCCAAAGGGCTGCGCTATCGCTTTTCTATTTGCACCCTAAGCTGGATGTCATGCCGAAATCAGCAATTTCATCGGACTTAAATCTGCTGATAATGTCGTCCAAATCGTATAGCACAGTAATTGAAAACGCTTTCGAAATCCAAAGAGGGTTCGATGATTTCATGAGATTGACATGCTCCACGTCTCCCTTCCTTTATTTTTCCAATCATTTTGATGGCACGTACTCATTTTTCCTTGCTGGTGGACTGTTCCTTTCTCAATACATTATCCCGTTTGATCTACAGTGATTAAGGCATTTTTCGTTCACCTGCCGTTTTCACGCCTTACATTTGATTCTGGTCTCCATATAATCGCTGGCTCAAATTTAAATAATTCCAAGGTTTGTTAACATGCCTGTGCTATATCACAGGTAACAATATCTTGTATTTGTACAAGAATTACTCGCAAGTACTCTAATTTCTTTTTTAGCTAAGCAAATATTCTTGCAGTGCTAGAAATAACAAAGAAAACACTGTAGAATTTATTGTTACTAAAGACCGCCATATGTCTCAGCGATGCCTCAAGGTTCCAAACGACCCCAGTCACATCTTGCATATTGCACTTTGGTTGTACGGGATCTAAATTGTACAAGCAGCTGTTAACTGATGTTTTGTATTTTCGAAGTTTGTTGCATCACAATTTCATCATTCCAATTCTGCAACAAATCTTTATCAACGTAAATGCTATGGTGCGCCAATTGGCAGACAATTTGCTTTGGCAAATCTTCGTATTTTCCTTTTAACTTGTAAAGTTTCGTTGACGCTGCTTTATAGTAGATCGGCAATGTTAATGTTAATTGGGAAACTTGATCACTCCTGTTGTTTAAATCTTTTACTTACTTGATAATCTTGCCAACCACGGAACTCAGCGAGATTATGCAGATAGGACATTGAATTATTCGTTGCTTGATGATGCTGCCACAAGAAGTTGCGCGACAATTGCGAAATCATGAATTGAAATTTAATCAATATTTCTAGTAGTGGAATTAGTGTGTCTTAAAGCTTCATCACATGTAGGACACTAGAAAATAAAGTAAAAATACTCTTTATGTTTGCAATACAAGACAAGTTTACAAAAGCATGATCTGTTCATAACCTGGTCGGAAAATGAAGAATAATTTCAGATAAGGACTGCTGTGTGTATACCTGGGACACCATGGGGTATAATGCAGTAAATGGTTTCAATGAATGAGGACAGGCGTCAGAAGTTTGGAAAGGGATCAGGTTTTTATCCTTTATTGATCCAGAAGCGGAACACGGAAAATTTGGTAAGCCGTTTATGGCAAGGAATATCATGTTTTGAAGTGATCGCACTGATTTGGCACATATTGGTCTGAGGAATAGAGGTTGCGTTCGCAGTTTTACTCCACAACTCAATGTCGCGAAAATGTGGTGAAGAATTAACATACAATAAAAGCACAAAAACCATATACTCTTAGACCGTAGAGTTTGAACAATATGGGAAAACAGCCAAGCGTTTCAATGATGCATGAGGAAATGAGCCAGCTTTTAGATTTCCCTGGTTCACATCTCTATTATTTCAGTTTCTGGAATGAGTAAGTTATCTTGTTTACAGCTTTGCGAATAAAATTGCATACAACTTATCCAAAGTAAATGGTTTTCTCATTATGCCACATTGCTGTCAGCATACTTGACAAGCAGTTTTAGCATATCGACCTGATTATGGCAGAAGTGCTTTTATTTTCAGCTAAATATTATATGGGTGGTTGCTAAACGCGTTTGATAGAACTGCATGAATATTTCGATGAATGCATTCGATGACGAAGCAGGCACCATGTAGTTAACGAGCCCGGTGACAAATTAATTATTTGAGCAAACCGCACATTTTATCTCACAGGTGACAAAATGACTGCTGATATGCTGAAAGCGTTTGAAATACCGTTCCTACTAGATAACATTTCAAACTCTTATTAACGAATGCAAAAATGAGAATAATATCGATGGATATATGTTATGGGACACAGCAGATGCAGTTTCCATATTTTAAATGGAATCGCTCAAATATAATTAAATGTCACATACTATAACATATGGAAATGACGATCAACTGTTTCTTTCTGACAAACTACATGCATTACACCATCGCTTATCCAATAGAATCAAGGACCACATGGACCATTCTATAATAATTAATTTCAGCTTATCTTTTATCAAAAGCGGGAACGTAAAAATGCTTGTGTCCTCTTCACTGAGCAGACAGAAACCACTTTGCGTTTAGGATAATTTAATTCAGGGCGATGTTGTGAATAGAGCTTCTGCCTTTCAAATGGGGATTAAGACTAACTGTGCCGGGATACTTTAGCTGACTCACACACTATAGAGGCTCAGTCATGACGAATCCGATTTTCTGGTTTATAACCTTATAATGCCAACAATACAGCAACGCTTGCAAGAAAAGTCCGATTATATTTTTTACGTTGGACGGCACTTCACTTGTCTGTGATTGAGATGCAATTACTGCATTTTAGCTAAATACAATCACAATAGAATTACTGAAGCATTATTCTTATTTCCACAGGTGCATCAACTCCGCTAAATCAAGGTTAGTTAACCCAAGTTTACAATGCACTGTGCAACAGGGTTTACAAAGCCACGTTAACTACCTATCCGGTTATAGGTGATGGCGACTGTCGAGGTAGCACTATCTACATTCGTTTCCATAGCGCAGCTAGACCAAAAGCTTTCCTATACTATTTCATTTTGGAACACTATATTCCATGTCCTCAAGCTCAGTCCAATTTGCGAGTATCATAGGACAATTCTTGAGTCAGATATCCCCGCTAAATTTCATCAGTACGTCAGCAACAAACGTAGAAGATGCGTCGATGTTTTCTGTGATGGCGTCAGGTTGCTTATAAGTGACAATGCGGTGTGCGATTTACTCATCATATCTTGTACGATTTAGCTACTTCCAATGAGATTTTTTAAACCGTGAAATTATTCTATCATCTATTCTATCATACTATCATTCTATCTTCATCATTAGTCTATCATTTCAGCTTGAGCACGTTTGTGTAGGTTCTTCAAACTTGGCTACACCATGCGTACTACTAACCAGAGCGTGAGCTACTTCTCTTCAACCTAATCATCAAAAGCGGCCAATTAACCAATATAATGCTATCCTGTCATCCTTGTTAGCCTGTGAATATGAGACATCTTACATCGTTTGGTTAATGAAATTAGCTTAATTTTTCCTTTGGATTACCTGAGCAACTGCCACTTGTGGACTCAGTGGTCGTGATCGATCAAATTGGATTCAATCTTCCTGTTAGTGATCAGTTAACTCCGCTGAAGATAACGCAAAGTTACATAATGTTCCTACTATCGATCGGAATTCAGGATCGTCAAAATAACGTTTAAAATCATTTGGAATTTTCTAAGGGAATCTGTTAGCAATAACTGGTGTAAATCAACACTACCCTAAGTCAATTCGTTCGCATATTGTGCCTCATACAATCTTGAAACATACGAGGGCGCAAAAGTAACAAAGCTTAACATTATGTTTACTGTTGCAGCTCACTGCGGAGAAGAGTTCAATAGGCCAACGTTTCGTTTCTCGTTCTGCTTTCAAGCAGCATATCCACTAGTCTGTGTTTGGCGAATCACGGTAACACCAGGAAGAAAAGTGCAGCTCATTTTCGAGACTCTAAGTGTGAGTTTGTTTCGTTGGATATGTGGCATTTCAATTGTAAAACTTCTATTCGGTTACCTGTGGGAAAATATCAGACCTGCAAGCTCATGAACTCACCTGTAACTGCAATTGCCTATTGATCCAATAAAAAGACGGCGACTTAGCTACGACTTTACTGCTACCATCAATACCGACAAAACTGCACTTATGTTCCCATGAGTCCATTTAATTGTTTAGTAATGCATGATGGGAACAAATCAACCGTACAAAACACAGGATGACAACCACATATATAAAAGCAAATCAGAGCATTTCAGCATGGAAATAAAACTATTAGCTGTCTGGACCTTGCACATTATGGTGGAACGTTTATCATCTAGTTAAAACTATAGTATTCCCGACGGTGGCGATATTTGTTGTGTTCACCACATAGGTGGAAACCGGTACAACTAGAGCGTCCATATTTTCTCTGAGCCAATATGGAGTGTTTCGTCAACTGCTTCAGGGTTGGCCTTGGAATTATTTAAAGTGGTTAGGGACAGCATTGAATTACGTGGGTGATTGCTCTCAGTTACTTTATTTATGATAAAATGCTGTCACCAAAAGGTCTTAAGCATTTTGTGGAGAAAACAGCAACTTAAAGGAGGCGTAGTATGTAAGAGATCATGGATAATATAATTTGTTCTTAGTGGCCATTATTTGATGCTGATTCAAGACACGAGTGTATTGTTTTAGCCATTACCATCGAACAAAATCTGTATATTCAAAGAAATAGACGAATAAACTATTACAATTTACACGCATGTTAGCGTATTGTAGCAAGCTTTTAGCGTGGTGCATTTTCGAAATCGCGTGCAGTACTTTCAAATTAACGAGGCTAAGAACGCTGATTTGGCGTCCTTGACACTCTCATTGGTCATGGGACGTAAACCAATGGGACGCCGGTTAGAAGCCGCCAGCATAAGCGATAGACAGTCCAATAAGAGTGGTCGAGCACCCCCTTCTGTTCTGCCTTGATGTACCTCTGAAGTAAACCTCGATGATTGGTCTCCAACCTGAAACCAACCAATAAGCAAATTGTGCTGTCTGTCAAAGGAGGAGATCCTAGCTAACACATTATCCAAAGCTTAAGACTTAACCAGTGTGGATAGACATATGAACCAGCACATGAAGCGGTCTATGGTGATCGCTGGCGGCTACCTATTGGTGGCATATTCAGTGGCCTAACCATGGTGGCGTAGACAGGTAATCACCTAACTGGTATTCCCAAGTACAGGAATGGCTGCTGGGCGGTTAGACAATCGTGTGCGAATGTCATTGTAAAGATCATGGGGGACAAAGCTCCCATAGAAGGTAGTAGGCCAAGCTGAAGCTGAACAACGAAAATACAAAGCTTGCTTAATTCTATCATATTTGGTGACTCAACAAAAAGTACTGGGATTGCAATTATGGCGTTGACAAGACGTTAGTGAGAGTTCGTTTGCCTCCACACCCATTGGCGAAATGTTAATCAGTTATCCCTTCAGTGTCTCCATGTATGGCGTTATGTAAAGGTCATAGGGACCTACGAATTCATAGGATAATTAGGTTTCACTTCAATATGGTCGCCCATGGTGGCGTAGAAAGGCAATCATCTAACTGGTGTTTCGCAGTTCAGCAATGGCTGCTAGGCGGTTAGACAATTTTGTGCGATTGTTTTAGCGAAGATCATGGAGGACATTGTTCCCATTGAAGGTAGTAGACGAACCTAAAGCTGAACAACGAAAATACTAAGGTTGCTTAATTCGATCACAGTTGGTGACTCAACAAAAAGTACTAGGATTGCAAGTGTGGCGTTGACACGAGGTTAGTCTCCACACCCATGGGCGACTTTGTTAATTAGTAATCGCTTCAGTGTCTCCATGGATCTTGTTACGTAAATGACATGGGCACCTATGTATTCTTAGTGAATTTTACACTTCACTTCCATATGATCGCCCATACGTGTTTAGAAGCTTTAACAAGTGACTCTCCAAATGGAACCATTAGAAGCACATTTAATGCAGATGGAACCTCCCTGTTACGTCAATGGACTGGCATGCTATCCTAATGAAATCGGCATCACTCAACAAAGAAACACTCAAAGGTGCTACAATATACATGCCACATCGTCCTGCTAGAAAGAACGCAAGACTTATTATTAGTGGCGATACAGGCATTTCACTCTGGTAATTCAGGTAAGTACTTGGAACAGACAAACACAGTTGTCTCACCCACGGGCCTTCTTACAATGTGGTTGCAATCATTTACAAAGGCAACCGCGCCCACTAAACCTGCTATGGATCACTGTTTCAGATAGTCTTGGAAGCATTCATGTGTGCACGCCGTGACATAGGTTGTTAGCGACTTAGTAACTACTGGAAACATGTCGTCATTGGAAAGTAGGTAATTCCGCAGACATTGTTAAATGAGGAAAATTGCTCCAAACTCTATGCTTACTATGCGTATGCAATGCTCGTAGGCAGTTCATATCAGGGCCGTAGGGTCGCTTGAGATTTAAAGCTTATCCATTACTTGGAATTGTTTCCATTATCCACTCTCATGTGTTGAGTTTCCCATTGTCGGCGCGCTTCAACTCTGGTACACCATGAACTATTTTCAGCTTCTTCTTCACCTTCTTATTTTTACGTGACGCACGCGGATCAATTTTAATCCTCTGGCTTTCTGACTATGGTTTGCTTGGAAAAATGCGAGGACTAACAGAACCTTTGACTAATTTGAGACTTGGTAAGAGAATATCATTCAGGTTGCATGTGTCGATCAATGTTTCTGGCATTATTGGAAATTCCGCTACTTGCGTAAATGATGGATTTCGCGAAAGTTTCGTATGACTATTTAGAAGGACGGCTATCACACGCTGGCAGCTAATCATAAACCAATGGTTTCGCTCCTCAGATTGCCCTCTATTTAAAAAATTTGCTAATGGGATCTGAGACGTTTGGACATACGACCTGTACCGCCGTTCAGTTACGTAGTACCGACTTTTATGTATATTTGTTGTGTGGTATGTATTGTAGAAAGAGGTGAAGTCGTACGCAAGACGGTTTATGTGCAGCGGTGTTATTCGTCATATCACCAGTGTTTAGTTTTTGTTGCCTTTCAAATGACGGACGTGTTATATGTGCTACTCTTATTGCCACGCAACATTTCCTAAAACCTTGAAGACCGTACAACCTGCCTGCAGTCATGGCTGCTTTTTCCTATTGTGGTCCGTTTTTCGTCAGGCTGTGTGGTATTCAAGCTTGTGTATTTCTCTATTTTCCACTTTATGTTTAAGGATTCCTAATACACCACTCTGTAGATCGAGTTAAGCGAGTTTCGCTCCCCTACCATGGCATGTTCCTTTTGCTCGGCTGATGAAACACCTCCGTTATAACTTTTTGAGCAATCTTAAACATATGTCTGTCGGAATGTACATCACAGGACCACCAAAGAGTTATCAGTACGCTGATCTATCCGCTTAATTTTACGTTTGTTATATGCTAGGAATTAGCAGCTTGCGACCACGTGATCCCATGATTATCTCTTTTGAACTTAGGCATGTTGTACACTTGTTTACCGGGCAACAAAATTCTCCTGACCACTGGCCAAGGCTCATATGCACTCTGGTTATACCAATTTTTACCATGTGAATGTTTACCCCAGACAGCTGTGATTGCCATTGTTCCGGCTGTTTTGTTAGTTATGCGTCACTTATAGCACTGGTGGATCAAATCACACGAACCTATGCAGAAACACGGAAGAATTATCGCAGTGTTAGATGCAGAGCGACAAAACAACCAACAACTAGCTATGTGACGTTGCACATTTGTATTTGATACATCGTCTAGTACTTTTGGAATAACTCTGTCAAAGCGGATCACTACCTCACTGGAGGAACTCATAAAAGGTAGGTTACACGCACGGGTCTAAAGGAATGAATTGCCGAAGACGTCGTTTGCTTGCTGCGTGTCCTTGTACCTTAACAAAAATATAGGTCCCGTTGAATAGAGCTTGGCCATCCGTATCGATTGAACATAACTCCGAAGACCTGAGACGAAAGGAGGTGAAGAAGCCCAGTTGAGGTAATAACAAAATTATACGATCTGCACGCTAACGTTTGCATCAAATTGAACAAGTTATGTCTGTCACAATGTTTGCACACCTTTACAAAGTTGCATCTAATGATGAGTCTAGTGTTGGAACTTATTTATGTTACTTCCATTAAATGACACTGTTTGCCCGTCCTCTATAGAAAAATCACCATATCATTCTCCACAGTTGCCTTCCTCCAGATCTCGATTGCGTGTGTTAGACGGAATTACCTGTGGAGGTACTATCCTGTCAGAGTTTTCACAATATTCCAGCATTCCTCAAAACGGCATTGTCTCCAATAGCAATACGATGACGTTGGTGTACACAGATCCAGTTATTGAAAATGTGTCGACAAATATTGATTTCTCTTTTTCAGAGAGTAAGTGTATTTTAATTCACCTGCATCGTGTAGAGCGTTTACCATTTTATTTGCTTTATTTTCATCTGTCGCAAAATTTCATTCGAAGGTGTCAATTTGCTTGCTTGATAAACATTGAGCCTCATGCTGACATTATATGAGTAGGTTTTCAGCCAATCTGCCATATCAGTCGGTCAATCGATTGTTTCATTCCACCGCAATGGCTCATACCATACCACTAGCTTTTGTAAATCTTGGAACATTCAGTGTTTAATACTCAAATTCAATGGTTAATTAGGCACATAACATTAGACGCTTAACATAACTGCATGTGAGATTGGATCGGTGTTCCGGACAAAAACGATAAACCAGTCTAAGTGATGACCAGCATTTAACAATGATTTTGCCAGTGAAATATATGTCTACCTGCTTGTAGTCCATGGCTCCTTGCTCGTAAGAAAATTATAAAGACTTTAGTCTTTCGAGAAAAATATTGCGTGGAGTTGTATGTCTCGTTTTCTTGACGTTCTTATGTGTCATTTTTGTTATTTAATGCGATACAATACGACCACCGCACTTGCAAAACTAAACGCAGCCAACATACTGGCTAAGAAATTAAGATAGTACTACAGGCAAGGTGAGCCAAACGCATAGGTAGACAAGATTTTATCGATCCTGCAAGCAGCCGTATTTTTATTCAGTCGTTGATTTTCGCACCAAAGGTTCATGTTACGGCGGGAAGTAAACAGCTGATACCAAACATGATTATAGAAGATAAACATCCGTTAATCCACTACTAGGTCACCAAGCAAATTTCGATGCCATCCACCAAAATCTCCTGGCACAATCAGTCCCTGTGAGAAAAGCAAATGGTTCAAATCTTTGACGTGTTTGGACCGTGAAATCATGCCTCTGTCACGGCTGCCATATCTGAAACTCAAATTTTTCACAACAATGTTTTCATAGAGCGAAATATTTAGGGGCTGGAAATAAATGTGCCCAAGCGATCAGAAACATTCTGTAAGAGCACAATACCCTGAGGCCCTTTTTGATAAATTTCGGGTTGGTGATATCATCTGTGTTTCTGGTGAACGTGCACAGAGTGACCCATTTCAAGGGTACAATGTTGAAGATTTTCGTTGTCCAACATACAAGTGGAAGACAAATAGAATCGTAAATCCTGCTCTCAAGTTATAATTATATGAAGAAGAAGACAATTCTGGACACACAATTCACAAGCCACAAATCCACAATCCCAATCCTATTGTCTTATTGTTGTTGCACGCAACTATCCAACTTTGCTCGCTTGTCAAACTTTAGTATGGCCAGCGCAAACTAAATAGTATAAGGTTCACGCATCGGAACCAAATGAGATGGGGTCTGAAGCGTATTCACATACCATTATGTCAGAAAGCTTGTTCAAGGTCAATTTTGTAATTCACCTCAGTAGGAGATCATTAATGAGGTATCTCTGAAGCAGTAGTTCAACCTGTCGCTTAGCCTACAGAATTCACCATATATAATAGGTACATCCACACGAAAAGTTGCTACCGTGGTTCACCTATCTCGTGCTAGCAGTAGTTTGGTAGTGTAGAAACGATTAGGGAAGGATGTGTGTGGGGACGTTGACGACTGAGACGCGATGGTGGGGTTGGGATGCCTGCCCCTCTTCCTCGGCCTAAACGGGGAGTTTGTAGGTGTCCGTTCAGTTTCAAGTATAGTGTTGTTTACTTTCACAGCTGCGTTGCGAGCGTACATCAGTTGCTCAACTGTTTCCGCCAACTTTTCACACTTTTTCATTAGGAAAATTACACAACTAACGACAGAAACGGATTTGCACACCTGGCAGAACCAAAATGCTTCGGTTTTGCTGCTGTATTGTCTAGTTTCGAGTGCACTCATCCCCAAACACTTCGAATGGTACGCTTTGTGACAGTTAAAGCAAATTGGACCAGACTTAACGGTTTTTACACATAGGTCACCATTGACTTTCGAATGAGCCATATCCACTTGAGGCGTTTTCTTTGTTATTTTGACTTGCACCAATTCCAAAAGGGATTCGATAGAAAAGGAGAGTTCAGAATCTATGTTGTAGATCTCTCACTTACCACTAGCTTAGAATGGATAATTCTACTGAATTATGTGATCAGTGTCAGTAAGGGGGCAGCGAAGTGGGAATGACCGCAGATGGTGGTGATATGGTGTAGAGATTCACCACCACCAAGATGGAATGGAGTAACTGGATGTGTACACTACAACAGGGGTAGCAAGAGGATAGAGAGACTGACGCACCGTGTATGACTTTGCTTCAGTTTTCGTTTGCGCGGCGATCGGCTCTGGTTTGAGTTCAGGGGGGTCAGACGTGTGGCGTCCATATGAGTCACCCTTTCCTTAGGTTTGATATGCGACGTGCGTGCTATTGATCCAGCAGGTATGTGGATGGGTTACGATCCAACGTAGGACTGAGGCAAGGCAGAACGACTTGGAAAATACTGTCTATTGACGACAGTGGCTGCACAAAAGACGGATCAAATTGACAACTATCGCTTTGTACAGCGACTAGAAGGAGTGGTAGTAAGATGCTCGGGTGACTCTCAAAAAGATCTTTAAAATAAGACCACCAGAGTTCTTGTGCGACAAGAGGAAAAATAAATTGTCAGAGAAAATTCAAGCACGGTTGACTTCGAAATTGCAAAAGCATAGTTTGCTGCTGATCCGGGAATGACAGATCCAAAAGGTGAACAGTGGTAGGAGGAGCTTGCGGAGCCCAATCGTATGATAGTACGTAGGTCACTGTGAGAATAAATCCAAAGATTTCAGGGAGAATAACGCAGGAGGACATTTTTGCGACCTCTCGGTGATAGCCTAACGAGTGCATGCTACTAGGAGAGAAGGGCAACCTTGATTTATTGAAATCCTTTAAATATCCCAATCAACGGTAGCCAATGGCGGTGTGGTCATGTTATTCCACGGTTGACCAGGTGAGTGGGTTACCTTGTATCACATTGGTTGCAGATTCGCAGAGCAGAGCTAAAGTAGGCAACGCGGTTGCCTCTACTGCCAACACCGTTGCCCTGTCGACGTCCGCGTTCTAATTCGTCGAACTGAAGCGTCTATTCGAACTGCACAGAATCAGCCTTCAACAGAGATCGGGTAAATCAGCCAAGCCTCAACATGTGTACTCCACGCAATCACTACTCTAGCATGACCAGGGACTTTGGCTTTGTAGTCTCTAGTTACACACAATGTAAAATCGTCAACGGAAGTCGCAAACAACGAAACGAGTCCTAGGGTATGGTCAGGGTGTTGTAAATGGGTTTAATTTAGACAGCAAATATAGATTAGTATGGGTACTAGTGTGCTAACATGAGCTGCATGTAAACTGATATATATCAACCTCCGAAGACTGAATTCAACCAGGCTGATATCGAATGCACCAGCCAGGGTAGGATTATTAATGCTTTTCAACGGTTTACCGCCGAACATAAATTCCTGAGACGAGAACTCTTGCCCAGGTCAGCGTGATGTGGTTTACCAAGGATTAAGGGATTAAACAAAGCTCTAACCAGGTAACTCTGTGCTGGAATATAGTCCCTCATATAGGGTCACCAGCAACTCGGACAATTTAGCATTTCTTGAATGCAATGAGAGCGAGGACTGGAAGATCCTGACATGAATACATCGGTTGTTTGAGCATGAAAATCTTGATCGTCCAGGCTTTGAACCGGGGTTAGAGGTGACGACCTCACCTAGCTCCTTAAGGATCTGACCAGCAAGAATGCAAGATACATGCATGCGATCACCAAAGATTTTGAGCCGGCTAACAAAACTTAGTCAAATCGATAATTATGTGAAACCAAACCACCTGGAGCGCAAAAGGAACAAGGTACTTTTCTGCACGATGGAATATGCTCCAATACACGATATCTGTTGAGAACGGATTCGCAAGCACGGTTACCAGTCTACGCAAATGCAAGTGGTTAACAATGTACATATTCCGCATTACGTTGGGTATTCACTTCTGTTTAGAGATGTGGGTGGTCACTGACCATATACACGTTACAGTAACGTTAACGTAGCGCTGTATGAGATCAGGTGGTATTTAATCAAGAGCCATGGGACCAGCCCTTAACCCACTTCGCTTTGAGACGTTGTTGATGCTTGTCTGCGACTGTCTATTATCTTTGATAGCGAATATACTAAATAAATACACTAAATAAATTGCTTTCCTCCGTAACGAAATCTTTCCCGGATAAGACACCGGTGGATGCACCTGAACGAGTGCAGCTACACCGAACTAACCAATGGTGAGTTCGCTTTCAGGACTGGTTCTTTGGATAATGATTGCCATTAAGCAAAATGAAATGTTCAGTTTTGCATACGTTTGCTTTTCGCAGTAAACGAACATGAAGAGACTTGCCCGTGTAGCGTCTTCGAATTGAAACTAAACAAAGCGCGAAACCAAGCTAGGGAGTGTTGTGTAATAATGCAGTAAAAGTAGCCTTCGATCAGCTGGCACCTGCGCTACGTGCGGTACGTACAGCTTTCTCACTAGACTGGCAGCATATTTAGCTTTAATTCCAAATTCCATTTGGATAGTTAATTGTGTTCAGCCATAGAATTTGAATTATAATGAAAAAAATTCGAAAAATATGCTGCGCATACACAGGCGTGCAGTACTTGCATTCTGTGCATAATAAATGCACGATGCCAGCTGTTCCGACAAAACAACATAAACTGGTTAAAAGGACGTAACCACTGCACTCTGTATAACACGGAGTTGTATTCGTTTGTTTCCAAAAGTTAGTAATAGGTATTGCCTCTAGTATAGGTTGGAGCAAGTCCATCGAATTTTAACCAAATCCTTTGATTCCATACCAGATAATTTAGGCAAAAGTAATTCATGTGCTAAAAACACAACCGTTAAGCAATTGCAGCAAATAAGTGAGCCATGAACATCAATTCAGAAAAATACCATACATGATTCTTGAGTTTGCCTTTGACATGACGGATGAACGTCTTGAAAAATATGACTACTTTCAACTTAAAGGAGCTAGCTTAAGTTTGAAGGTGGTGAAGGAGTTGGGCTCCCAAAGATCTGCACTGAGGTCAAAAGGTGATTATGGTTGTTAAATAAATACACCATTCTCATTTGTTAGCCTAGCGCGTGCAGAAACCCCTTGCGCGCAGTTTTGAATATATATGTGAGAAAATATCATTGGGGAGTCAATTTCCCATCTGTATACATGGCGTTTAATATAGGTGGCGGAAGCATAAAGACAAGGAAAGCAACTAACAGCGATTGAGTTCTTGAAGGCACAGAGAGTTAAAACGTGTACAGATGCCATCAAATTAGAATGGTCTAATTCCACTGGCAAATTGGTTTGATATATCTTAATGCCGTTGCCTTGCTAACGCGCATGTTCGGGGACCGAATCCATCATACTGACGTGATTCCATCGACGGCGGTGGTGCATTGGTTTGAAGTACGAAAGGAAGCTGGAAAAACCAATGCTGCGAGGGTACCTAGTGCATATCTTATCATTTTTAACATGGGCTGAAGTAGATTTCGTTCCTAAAACCCCTGTCATTGTGCGCAACAACAAAACAATTTTCTGACCTGAGTATGCTGAGAATGACTTGTCTGACGTTCAGGACACTTTTAGACACGCCTTACTAACGGGACGGACAAACACGTAGTACAGGGTCGAAGTGAAATCTGAAGGCACACATATTGCCTCACTTTCGCTGGTGATCAAGTGGCACGACTCGGATGGAATTAGCTGAAACATTGAGTGCATGCTTTCTTACTTTGACTAATTTTCTACATTATACATAACCACAAATGACTTCATAAAACAATTTAAGTCAGTTCATGATTGTGCATTATGCACCTATGAAGGGTAAATATTCAGCTCAAAGGATTTCAGTCTTCGACAGTTTTGACGGACAGCTGCGAATAATTCATCCCAATGGTAAAGTCCTGGCACATCACCGACATCTACTCACTTATCGCACTGCGTTTGTCATAATTTGAAGGCGCGTCAAACTTTCTACTGCATTCGTACAAACCAAGATCATAAGAAGAAATTTAGGCTCCGTAAATTGCCTATGGCGACGTCCTCAGCGTTGTATGGCAATGGCAGGTTCTTTTGTTAATATACATCCAGCAACGAGTGCTTCCAACATTTACGAAACAGAATGGGAAATAGTATGCTTGGCACAAACCATGCACCATCAAAATAAGTCTAACGAAAGAAATGACAGAGAACTTAGCAAAGCTATTACCGGGGCAAAGGCAGAAAAGTAGCTGAAAACCACTACATAGATAATTAAGAAACATGAAATATCAGAGGTAATAACCTTACGAAATTTACAAAGCCCGCGAAAAAAATGGAGAAACACAGTCATAATTTGACAAAAGTGAATCCTTTCATTGGAAGCAAGCGAAATTAATTATTTAGTGCGTAGGAAAGCACCGTCACAAGCGCCATTATAATACCATTACAAGTGGAATCATGCAGATCGACAAGTACACAGTTAATCAAAATATGACGCATATTCCAATCATGAAACTTCCATTAAATTACTATGAATCACTCAGAAAAACTAATGGCTCCATATGGATTCTTCCACCCACGTTAGAAATCACAGCGTTTTTATTAATGTCCTTTCCATCAGGAGAGTCAACGGAGTACGGGACAATTCCTTATACAGTAGAGGCGAAATATCAGATGTTCATTTAAGTTAACTCTATTAAAGGCGTGCTAGTGTTGTTTCTCTTGCAAAACACGCCTTTAATTTTCCATAATTGTACTGCATGCCCCAAAGTGAAGTACGTCCTGTAAAGGGGCAGCTCAAGGACAAGTTTTGTGCAGTGTTCAGGAGAGAAATAGGAAGCAAATTTCCTGCAGTTATACTGCGTAGACTATTTGCCTCACAATCATTTTGGATGGGAGTAAGAAAAATCAGACGAATAGTGTACACAAATTAGTTTCCAAATAGTAGGTGTGATAAGCGACGAAACACGCATTTACTCCAAATTCCAGTACCGGATATCAGCGGGTCGAAATTATCAGTGGCATAATTTAGGATACATAATTGAACAGAAAATTCGCTTGGCAGACTTACGCAACTTGGTAGCTGGGCCGTAGTTCAATCCACAATAAATGGAAGTACATTTTGAGCCTAGCTCGGCTACAAGGACCGTGCATCCCGTCACCCAATAAAAAGATTCTCAGTTACTTGGAGCCCGTAATCGAGGTTCATTGTGTACGAACGGTTGGTACCTTGTCAGCATTTACATCAAGCGTTGCCTCATGCAAAATGTCAAGCAAAAACATCGAATTTGAAGGAAAGCAAACACGCAATATTGACAAAGAATATTCAGCAGAATAACCAAATTGAACAAGTTAAATAAAGGGAATAAACTTTTACCAAATCTAAAAGGATCTGTTTGATCTATTTATAAGTCGCCATATAACAGGAGCATTGTCTTCATTATCTGCTGTATGTGCGGCGGTCAAATATGCTGTTCAATTTAGCATAACTGTATAACCAAAACTGGGGTACCAATTTCTGTAATGCGATTTTGGCGGTTTATCTGCATCATAACTTTAGCTGGAGGCTATGGTAACCCAACTTCTCTGTGATTTAAGTAATGCCACCGGATTGCTTCGATCAAAATTACGGCCGAGTTGGTTTGATAATATAAACATTGCTAGAAATTAAATGATGCAAGATAACGTAGCGCCTATCTTCGTTTTTGATTAATGAGTTAACGTAGATGTCGTTGGTAAAAGCCATGATATTGTGCGCCATAACCAAACAATGATGTGTCCTGATAATGCTTAATTGCAGAGGCTGAACAGCCTTATAATCTTGACAGCAACAGGACACTTCATAATTGTAGAACTCGAAAACAAGCAGTAAAATGCTAAGCAATAGTGGTAGACACAGATATTGACACGATTCGGCTGGTGTTATTTTGAAATGTTTTCCAATGGAATCAGTAAGGAAATAACAGTCCAAAATTCGTGGCGCAATTTATTTGCTTTGGTCACTTGTTAGCACTGGTAAAATTACCACGGCGCAGCATATGCTTATTAATGTCCAAATAATAAAATATTTCGTGACATTTTCACTCGAGACCTTATCTACGAATCACCAAAGACAACCAGATATACACCGATTCATCTGGATTTCCAACCACTTAAAAAAATCATTTAGTGGTATTAACAGGTGTCTGTTTTCATCAACAGAGTTAACCCATCAGATGGACAAATAGGTTTCCCGTTGAATAAGCGACACACTGTTATTGAGGTTCAAGTCACATTTTCAAACCGAACATAGGTTGTTGGAAAAAGTGATCAAATTTCGCAGCCAAAACCAGTAATGATTGGTGCATTTCAGAGCAGTCTTATCGGCCCACTACTCTTTTTATTTTACATTAACAAAATATTTGACGCAATAGCAAAACGTTTCCCATATGCATTGTTAATTACGTGCAAATCGTTTAAAATTTGATGTCACTGACACAAACCACACCACGAATGCCAGTATGTCTTATTTGACCACCCTTGAACTTTGGTGCGTTAAATGGGAAACGGCATTCTCGATCGATAAATGCAACGCTATAGTGTTCCTTTGTACCATCTCACCTGGCACAATGATTCTAAGAGGAAAGCTGTAATGTGCAACCATGGAGTACATTAACTGGGATTTACTCTTCTGGTTCAGCAAACTTTATGGTGCGCACTTCAGATATGGTTGCTAAAGCTTGTCGAAGCATTGAACTACTATTCAAATCATTCAAAACGCACCATTGCTATACAAGCTAGATACCTGACCGCTTTTAGTCTATTGCGCATTAATGTACAGTAGTGCCAGGAATGGTGATTGCCAGAAATTGGAGAGGTTGCAGACATCGTTCATTAAACGTCTGCTTGGATTGTCCTCTCGAATCTCTTACGTACAACGCTGTAAGTTATTTAAACTAGACGCGGTATGGCTCAGACGAATAAAAATTAATTATGTGCGTTATTCAATATCATACGTAAGAAATCGCTTGCCACAATCCTAGTTTCTATATTCGAAGTTGGGCCAAAGTAAACCACTCCAAACCGTCACGAATTACTAAAAATACCGAGGCCTAAAATTCAGATGAGAAGGAAATTTGAGTGACTGATTACACAAAAATAGGGAACAAGCTGCCGTCCAAGCTGCGACGATGTAAACCACATGAAATATTTCATAATTAAGATCCGCACCATGGTAAATGTTGAACATTTCACCGAGCTGTTGAGACAGAATGTCACAGAGGTCATGGCACACGGAAATGGTCTGGCAAATATCTGATATGGTATCAATCGCCACCATCTTATCCTCCCGTATTCCACACTTTTCTTCCGCGTAACTGTTGTCCTCAAGAAACTATCCTGACCAGTGGCGCAACAACGCAGGGAAGTGCGACACTGAGCTCTGTATACAATCCATATAGATATAACAAATACACTTTGACGAATATTTCTTAGTATGCGACCAGCATAACGTTTTTTTTGAACGAACGGTTTTCCGTAGTTGTAACCAGTTCCCTTTCATGTCCGGAGGTATCAGCACAGATCTACAGAGTGCTTCTTGGTATCCATCAATATCATTGTTTATACGCTTCAGCTACCATGGTAACTTCGAGTCTGTACCTCATTTCTTGTTACAACTTGAACAGAAACTATTCCCAACCATCCAAATACAAAACGAATCCACATAACTATAATTCCTTTCCTTAATCCTTCGAGATATATACTGTACTTCCTTCATATAACTCTCGCTTCTTTACATGCGTTTTGTATTGATAACTAATTCTTCTACGTTCGTGAGAGCTACAGCCCAGCAGCAGGTAGCAATTATCACTGCACTGCGCTACCAACTGTTAAATTTGCGCACACAAGTAACTGTCAGATATATTAGAAGATTTCTTTCAAAACTACCTCGCATGTCGATGTTCCGAGCAGGCACTCATTACGGGGAACTCATAGCACACTATGATCAATAAATGAGACAATTTTTTTGAGGGATTAGAGAAAACCATTGATTTTTAACACATTTACCGTTATTATCTTGCTAGCAACTTATATTCCATTTTCATGTTACTCCATTCCTGGCCACGAATGCATCGACCTCCTGAGGTGGCGGATTTAGCTACAAAAATAACGGATGTACCCACGCGACGTAAGATGCCATGGACACACTGACGAGTAATAAAGGTCATTATCCCAAACACCGATTGCTGATACGGGCTATATGACCTAAATATCCATATACATATATAAATATATGTACATAGAAAGAGCCCTAAGTTTGAGTAAAATCGGTGAGGACAAACCTGCTTTAAAACCACGGGAGCGCACTGTCAGAGCAGAGAAAGATTTGGGGATATATAATTTTGAGGGACTAGACAGTTGGAAGCAGGTCCCCAAGAGACGATTATATGTTTGTCATAGTACCATATCAGCACATTTAGCATTATATGCAGTTAATCAACGTAATCCAAACATCAATTTAAAAGCGGATACCGATAGATCAGCCAAGCCAAACAGTTTGGGAACTTCCATTAACCCAGAAGAACCGAAAGAGGTATTAAGCAACACAGCCGGTTAAGTTGTGCAAAATGTCCAGGAAAATCAGTTGGACTGTGCCTCGATCCGTCAAGGCATATACCCCGTTTGTAATTATTTTCAGATATAAATATTACTAAATAAGATTTATGTATTTTCTGGCGATAAAATGGAAGCGAATTTCCTCCCGTTTTGTTAATTAACTATCCGCCTCACAATCCTTTTGGATAGGAATACTTCACTGGCTAAAGTATTGAGTACAACAATTTGTTACAAACGAGTTAGAATCATAAGCAAAGCAACGTGAATGTTCACTCAATCAAATATCAATCTTCATGCCGGTCGAAATTATCAATGGAATTAATTCAAGACACACAATTATCTGACAAATTTTCACGAGGGTAACCATCAGTTTAGAAAAGATTCTGAACGAATATGATCTCAGAATCTTGACGGTAAGCAACCGCTGAAACTTGGCATCTCTATTGGTGGCTATGATGAGTCTAACAACCCGAGTTTATTTTTGACAATGAAGATGTTGTTTCAAAACCACTACTACAGCGGTGCTTTCATTTCGTCTATATCTAGTTACAACGGAGGACACGACAACTGCCGGGACGCGTACAATGGCAAGCACGACTCTCACCGATAGTTCGATGAAACCCACTGATGGAGGTCAGTGTTATTTGATTTCAATATTTGGCAAACCTTCAACGTGAATATGAAATTCGGGTCTTAGTGCCTCTGGCATCTAAGGTCCAAACAACGTCGTTAACCAGTCTAGAGCTGCCGTTACCCTAATACAACATGTCGGAGTCGTCCTACAATTATTGGAATACCGACTTCAATGCTCTAAATCTAGCCGCCAGTGAAGTAGACTAGACGCTGTCACATGATTCAACTGTTGATGTTTGTTGCGCCGTTATCAGTGAGGGTGTGCAATCGTTGTGCACTCCTTCCGTTATCCTCAAGTATCATAATGCTAGGCCAGTGAAGCCACATTTGTTTGACAGTGAGTATAGTCAAGTGGTCCGACGGCGACCCATATTGTGGAATAACTTCCCCGAGTTTAGCTCTGCTAACAATGTAACAACGTGGCGTAAAAAGGTGCCGGAATCTATGCAGCATTGCAA